AGGCCCGCGCGGCTTACATCCGCCGGGCCTCGGCGGTCTCTCTCCCCCTCGGCTCTCTCCCCCCTGGTCTCTCTCCACCCCCGCTTCAAAGCCGGTCTCCCTCCCCCGCTGCCGCCGCTGGGCCTCACCGGTCGCTCGCTCCCTTCCCCCGCACTGAAGCCAGGTAGGTCGCAGAGCGTTCCCTGCGCATGCACAGGGAATGCTCTTTTACTTTTGGGGGGATTTAAATATCCCCCGATAGTTTTTTAAAGTTTTTAGATTTTTGTGCACACCTGGGGGCCGTCCCACGTGTGCACAAAAATCTCCCTCCCCCCCCAAGTGCCCCCGGTGCGTGGATTTAGGTATCTGCACACCAGGGGGCGACTTCAGTATTAGATATATAGATTGAATCTGAAACCTGATTGTAACTTTATGCTCCTCTATATTCCAAAATTAGACACGTAGAAAATGGACAGCATGGAACCAAATGCATACAGATTTTTGTACTGCAATTAGTAGTTTCAAAGTTTTGATAAGGGAGATCTTGCCAACTGCTCCTCCCACTGTCTACTCACTACTACACTAAAGAAATCATGGTTTAAAAGCAGTGAAAAGAAAACATTTTCTTGAAGATTTGAGTGCCTACAAGCTGGCTTTATTTGAAGTGGAAACAAAAAACGGGAGCAGGTCCTCAACTACCAAAACAAAGGGATTTGAAAAAAGTGTATTAATTATCTCAAAGAAAGCATGTCATAAAATATGACAGTTATGAGATACAAGTCTAATGCAGTATCACAATGAATACAATGATATAGTTGACAGTATAATGATGAGAGCCCAGATTGTTCTTCATTTCCTATATCTCCAGCAGACTAGTGTAGAAAAAAAAATGTTTATCAAAGACTGGGCAGCAGCTTCATCTCCATAAATTTTGAACAATCCAAAGCAAAGAAGATATCAATAGGGACATTTCTTCTGACACTTTGATGATGGAAATTACACAGTGGCAGAAGAAACATACACCCTGATGATGTTTCTGTGGATTACTTGTTTTCTCTGCTCTGGAACTGCTCACAATTTATAGAGATGCAGCTGCCTCCCAGTTTTTGATGTCTGATGAAGACGTATAAAATGAGAATCTACCCAAGGCCTATATTTACCTGACATCATATTAAACTTCTATCTAATAATTATAATGGTATTTGATGACAGTCTTCAATGTAGTACTGCAATTAATAAACTTTTTCAAGGTCCTTCATTAGAGCACCACTGTACTAATATTCTTGCACATCAAAGAAAGCAGGGAATGTTTTCATTCTCAGTCTCTCCACTTCAGCCTGAAGGATGGACAACTCCTGAGCCTGTGCCTTGGCAAGATCCACAAGTTGCTGTCGCTGTAAAATGTCTTCATAATGTTCTTTATGAATCTTCTGTTTGAGCAGGTCTGAGTCTGCAAAACACGAAGTCCAGAATATATTAACATTCATTTCCCATAGTATAGTTGTAATTCTGATGCACCCCCCCCCAACTGTGCTCAGAACTGTTCCTAGCGTTCCCCTGACTACCAGTAGCAGACTTTGTGGGGAATTAGTGGGAAATCAAAAGGTTGCATTGATCATTGCATACATCCCAATAAGAATGGTGTGTAAAGAAACCAGAACTGCCCACATGATCTGCTTTCTGTTGGAGGAGGTGGCAGCTACAAGCATGGACGGCTTCAAGAGGGAATTAGATAAACATGGAGCAGAGGTCCGTCAGTGGCTATTAGCCACAAGGTATATAGGAACACTCAGGTTGGGGCAAGTGATGCACTGTATTCTTGGCGCTTGGGGGGGGGCAACAGTGGGAGGGCTTCTAGTGTCCTGGCCCCACTGCTGGACCTGATGGTACTTGGTATTTTTAGCCACTGTGTGACAGAGTGTTGGACTGGATGGGCCATTGTTCTGATCCAATATTGGCTTCTCTTATGTTCTTAAATGGTACTAGCAACACCATGGAACATCTGTGCTGCTGGCTGTCATATGAAGTGGCCCTAGTGGTGGAATTGGTAAAATTTTGCATATTGGTTGATTTATTTTTTGCTGCTGTCCTAATCAATACCACAAATTGTTTGCGATAATCAGTGACAGGTCTGACAACATTACTCCTTTATAGAAATTACAAAATAAAAGGAATTCTGAGAATGCAAAGGAAGAAATGCTAGGATATTTGGGCACAGTTGACAAGAGCTATGGTAATCATTTATATGTGTAAGTTGATTCATGTATCTAATATGAAGATGACCATGTTGGGAAAATCAATTTTACAACATGTGCAGAATGGCACAAGCATCAATGGCTACACTTCATAGAGCAGGAAATGGATTTGCTCAGTGGAATAATCTGTGTCAAAAAATAGCACGAAGAGGCCAAGCAACCCTTAGAACATTACTCACCAGAAGCCTCAAAAATGTGCCGCCTTTCTGACACGGAAACAAGCATTTCTCGTATCTCCTTGCTGAGTTTGTGGTTTGCTATCTTTTTCTGATCAATTTGCTTCCCCAGCTCCATGATAAGTTTCTCCCGGTGTTGCACATTTTTCTTATGAACCTGGCCATTGAAAAACAAAGTGCGTACAAGACATGCTTAGATAGATTTATATGATAATTTATTAAAACAATTTCACAGGCACCATATGATAATTTATTAAAACAAACTATTTCACAGGCACCAAGATGCTTTCATTACACTTGATGTGACATTTTGCATAGTTACTTCCCAGTATAAAAGATTACAAAGGATATGCAAAGCATTCAAAGAAAGTATTTAATGGGATACAACCAGTAGTAAATAATGGATTTTTTACTGAAAGGAATCTGGGGTGCCAATGAGAGCAGAATTATTTCTATATAATTTTGCTTATCTTCTCAGACAAGAACTCAAAACATAATAAATAAATCAGTAGTAATAATGGCACTGAAACAAACTGAACAACAGTATCCAGAAACTAGAATTAAATTCACAAAAGTTTATCTGAAGAAAAAGGGTTTTGTCCACTGAAAACAAGACTCGCACTGTACACATTAATTGCATGTACAGGCCCAAAGTGCACTGAGGAGAATCAACAGCAAGTATGCCAGTCCAGCCTCCTGGTCATGATCAGATACAAAGGTCCCACATCTCTTGCCTGCACACATTTTCTGAACATGGATAGACAAACAATTGTATTCATGTTAGCTTCATATATGTAAGTGCTTGGCAATGCTGCTTTTCATGTTTCTGATCATGGGTACAGAACTTATGGAAGTACATGCATAGATACTTTGCCAATGTTTGGGCAAAAATATGTAAGAGGGATTGGGTTCAGCACCTATGGTTGTGAGCTGGGGGGAGGGCCAGCACAGTACATTTCATGTTGTGCTATTGTACAGGGCCACTGTTTTTTTACAGTTCTAGATGAAAGACAGAAGTAAAAAGATGGTAAGCAATGTCACATAAAAGTGAAACACTGCAGCCTGCAAGTCCCATTGGTTTCTAATAATCACAATCAGTATGGCCCTATGCATGGCTAGAAACGTCACACTGGGTTGGATTTGATGCCATGCTGCTGCAGATGGATTTCTGCCTGTGGAGCCTGACTTTTTTGGTCTACCCTAACTGTAGCCCAGTATGTCCCCTGAAATTGTGTTCCTGAGGGTCCCCTGCCCCCTAGAAATAGCATTTGGGGGGCATTTATGGTGCAGCAGGAGGGGGGAGGCAAGCAAGTTGCACTGTGAGAATGAAAATCCTTTTGCCCACAGAAATGCTCCATTGGATCCAAACCACTGTATTCACTAGGGCCAGCTACCAATAATGTTTGTGTTACTTTAACCTAGTTTAATAATTAGGGTATGGGGAATTGCACACACAAGCTGAAAGAAAATTGTCCGAAGTATATCAAGTGACTGAAGAAGAAGCATAAAGAGGTCCTTTTACAATAACCTAGTCTTCTAGGTAAAATTCATAGCTGGGGGGTGACATTCAGGAGCAAAGCTTGAGGCCCCTCGGGCACCAGCACTAGCAAATAAATCCAAGTCTGTACAAAACAAAAGGCTCTAGGTAGTTTTCCAAAACTGGCAATGTCCATATGAAGGCAAAGTCAGACCCAGCTAGTTGCTGAGTGGAATCTTTCTTGCGTCGCTATAGATACGTGTATGTCTCTGTGGAGAAAGAAGATTCAACTTCATGCTACACCCAGCAGAGCAGCATGACCCCGACCCTGCACTTTCCTAAATGGGTTGAGGCAACCCAAACACAGAGATTATATTTCAAGCTTGGACAACTGAAGTAAATAAGCTGCACAGCCACATTCGGAATAAATGAAACCAATATAGTACTCAGCTTTTCTGAGTTCATCAGAATTTATTAGGCTGTATGCTAAGCATACATGACCCTGATGCTGGGAATGATTGAAGGGGACGGCAAAGGATGAGACGGTTAGACAGTGTTATCGATGCAGCGAACATGAAATTAAGCAAACTCCGGAGCACAACAGAAGCCAGGAGGGCCTGGCGTGATGTGTTCCATGGGGTCGTGAAGAGTCGGACTTGACTGCGTGACTGAACAACAACAACAACATGCTAAGCAGGACAAAAAGGAAGGGGTTTGTTGCAGGGCATGATGCAAAAGCCCCAGCCTAAGCCTGTGGTTTGTCAAAGTTTTACAACAGAAAGAACTTATACAGATTTACAGTATGTATACTCAGAAGTAAGCCTCACAGTGTTTAATGGAGCTCGTTCCCAGGCAAGTGTGCACAGGATTGTAACATGAATTCAATTAGTTGGTGCAACAAGATGTCATGTTGCACCAAAGTATGCCTGGACAATGAAACAGTACTGCAACTACACACACCAGGTAATTTGGACATGCCCAGCTGCTAATTCAATAACAAATGTCTTGTAAAATAGAGTAGGAGCAAAAACAAAATGGCTGGTTGTCCTTAAATAGTAAAGGTGGTGATTAATATTAGGTGGAACATTCTGTGGACAGTCATGTGATTTGTTGTCTTGTGATGACTAGACAACTAGTTTAGATCTAGGTAGTATGTGGGATGAAATCGTTGTCTGGGGTCCTATGAGGTTCTCAGCAGCCTAAAGCAGAAGGAACAACACTAAGGCTGAAGACAATAAAACCAAACATGAAATCAGGACTAAGACCAGCATGTTGAACAGGCAGAGTGTTCCATATAGTCAATGATCACACTAGAGAATTTACCTTATCTAGAAAAGTAAGCGTTGCCTCCATTACTGAGACCTCACGATTCATTCGGCTGTCGTAATTTAGTACCGTTAAGAACTGTAGAATTAAAAGCAGAAAGAAAATCAGGCTAACAGAACTAAGTGCCTCCATACATTAAACCTTAGAAGCATCCAATAGAAACACAATCCCAAAAGTGGTTTTGGGTTGGTTCTTAGGATCCATGCCCACCTACCAATATTGCCTTATTAGATCTATTGTGGAAATGAAATGTGCAGGCCCAATGTTTTCCACTAGCTCATCCACCCTTGGCATCGGGTATACATCTGGGACTGTAACCTTGTTCAACCTTCGATAGTCAACACAAAATCTTACCGTTTGATCCAGTTTTGGGACTAAACCAGTGAGGCCCAAGGACTTTCTAAATGAACAGTACCTCCAAGGTTCAACAGTTCTTTATCCTCCCTCTCAATACTGATGGCATTTGGGCCAGTTGCTCTATAAAGTGAGAGAGCAATAGGCCTGGTATCTCTAGACAGGGGTCATTTCCTGCGGGAGCGCACAGGAGCGGAGCTCCGGTAGTAAGGTGCCCAGGGGGCGGGCACATGCAACAAGCCCCACCCCCTGCTCCCAGCAGCCCTCAGTCAGGCCACAAAGAGCAAGAAGCAGCCAGGTAAGTTGCAGAAATCCCCCACCAGCCCACCTTCAGGTACAAGCTCTCCCTCCTCTGTGAGGGCATATCTGCGTGTTCCCCCCCCCCCGCTAGTAATCCAAAACAGTCCAGTGGCCCCTTTAAGACCAAGTTTTATTCATGTACAAGCTCTCCCTCCTCTGTGAGGGCAGATTTGCACGCCCCTCCCCAATAGCTAGCAATCCAAAACAGTCCAGTGGAGCCTGAGCGCTGGGTGTAGCCTTCTGACACACTTCCGGTGATGTCAGGGGGTGTGGCATATGCAAATAAGTTATGCTAATAAGTTATGCTAATGAGCTCCAGCACCTCTTTTTACGAAATGACCCCTGTCTCTAGTATTGATCTTTTGTCGAGCTAACTAGGTTCACCTTGGAAAATTGGAAAGGTGCATTGATACTCCGTTAAGACAGCCTTAACGTGCCATTGCTGGTCTTTAGTCAGGGTTGGTGCCAAATTTACCAAACTAACCACTCCTTCCTGCAGCCCATCCTGACAATGCAATCTTGTTCCTGCCCCGTCCCCACTACAGATGCCTGACCTGCCTGCCTGACTGTTAGTACACAGGAGTCCCTTGACCCTGGGAATAAACTTTCCATGTGTTGGAAAATCCCTAGGGAGGAAGGGAGGGTACAGAAGATCCAGGACTGTCAGCATCTTTTGCTGGCAGTTTGCAGGATCCAAGCCAATAACTTTATATAGCCATAGTGTTATGTCTGCTGACCGCCACTAGACGACAGCGTATTTTACAGGAGCTTGGATCCATAGAGACAATAGGGACTAGGATCCTGAAACCTCTAGCAGTCACCAAAAGGAACCTTGGCGGGAAGTTTAAACCCAATATACAGGTTATAATATCAAGTTAATTGGCACAGTCATAGGACAATCGAAAACCAAAAAGAACTGTGACGATGTGACACTGATAAATTTCTTTAAGAATCAAAAATTGTACAAAAAGTGAACAATACAGTAGAAAATATACAGAATAACAGAAAATGTGTGTGTGACGGTGGTCTCCAGAATGCCTTGCCGTTTCAATGGTTGATCTTCTTCCGAACAAAGATGTGAGACATATACTGTCTCTCAACAATTCATTTCCTCTGGTGATGTATCAAAGATTCATAGATATCAATGATGATTTTCAACGCTCATAATAGCTACAGTATTCCGTGGGCTATTGCAATACCAGAGGAAATGAATTGTTGAGAGACAGTATATGTCTTACATTTTTGTTCAGAAGAAAATCAACCATCGAAACGGCAAGGCATTCTGGAGACCACCGTCACACACACATTTTCTGTTATTCTGTATATTTTCTACTGTATTGTTCACTTTTTGTACAATTTTTGATACTTAAAGAAATTTATCAGCGTCACATTGTCACAGTTCTTTTTGGTTTTCGATTGGGAAGTTTAAACCCACCAATGGGACCTGTGGGTGGTCCACAGAGACTGCATATAGTTGGGCCTCTGGCTGAATATCACTATGTTTCCTCATCATTTGATGCGTCAAACCCACTACACAACACATAGCAAAATCAACATTTAGGAGAGTAACTTACAAGTTGGCGATCTTTTGTAACATTCAGTTTTTGAATATCTCGAGCCTTTTGGTTGAGATCATCAATCTGCATCTGAATTTTTTTATGCTCCCATTCCAGCTGAAATATCCCTTTCCGAAAATCTTTGCTTTCCACCATGCTGGCAACTTTCTTCTCTCCTTGAGCCTAGAAGAAAAAGAGCCCTGTCTTAATCTAGTATACATTTTTATGAATTATTTCTGGAAGAAGGTAGACTGGAAGCCAAACTACACATTAAATTTTGTAATAAGTGGGGCCCAGGTTCCCTAGACCCAAGTCACCTTCCCTTCAGCCACACAACACTTTTGTGGAATGGCATTTTAAAGGTCCACAGGGACACGTTTCATCTCTGAACCATGGTGCTGCGGAGGAGGGGCTCCTGATTCCCTTCCTCCATACCACTTTCTCAAGTCAAAACAGCCCCAAAGGGAGTTATTTGCCTCATTCTGGAGAAAACATGGATCCATAAGGACTCAGCTTGTCACAAATGTAATGTAGGGAAGCTGCAGCCCTTTCAACGGCACAACATTTTTGTTCCTTTATGGAACATTTTAGTTTTGAAATAATGTTTGGTGCTTCAGTCTCATTATCTGGTAATGAATCAATTAGTATATTCTAATAAACCACCTGTGGTCCCCATCTGTGGATAGCTAAATCTGTGGATCAGGGCCACATAAAGGCTAAAGAGATTTCCCCACAAACTTGGGGAGTGCCCCAAGTTTGCAGGAAAATCTTAATTAAAAACAAACACACACATAGGGGGATTTAAACCCCCCCTACTTTGGGAAACCACTCCAGCCAGCCACCATGGTGAAGGAGGACACCAGCCATTGCTCCAGGCCTGACAGTGGTGGACACCAGCAGCTGCTGCAGGTTCAGCAGCAGAGGACACTGGCAGCCACAGTAGGCCTAGCCACAGCAGGGGATGCCAGCAGCTGCTGTGGGCCTAGGATCAAGGGATGAGGATGCCAGCAGCCACTCTGGACCTGAGTGTGGCGGCAGTGGACATTGTTAGCCGCTCTGGGTCTGAACGCCGTAGCAGTGGACACAAGCAGTCGCTGCAGTCACGGGGATGGTGGCAGCAGATGCTAGCTTGTGGGCTCAGTGTAGGTTGTGGGGCTTGGAGCCTCACCAGCTCAGCAATGGGAGGGTATGGGATTTCCCCACACAAGACTTGCGGGTCCTCCCTTTTTCCATAATAAATTCAAAGGGACAAAATCTGGTATGAAAGATCTGCAGAAGTTCAGTTCCTTTAAAAGAAAACCATAGCTACCCGGATAGTGCTGTTCAGCTCCTCAATGATGCTCCTGTTGATAAGAATAGCATCTGTGTAATCGGGTATTAAATTGCTACTGTCTAGCTCCACTTGCCCTTGTTTAAAAAGAAATTGGACCATCAAATCTAACTGAAATTTCATCTTCATCTCTCGAAGCCTAGAAATGGCAAAAAAGAGAGATGTTTTCAATAAATGAAAACATTTACCTTGATCACAAAAAAATAAAGAACACTGTGAGAGGTATTTGCTTCTCAAGAATTTTTTAAAAGCCTATGGTTGGAGAATAAATATGAACATGTATTTCTCAGTGGAAAATTCCAAGATAATCACATACTTAACATGAAAGTATTTAGCATGATAGCTAATCAGAGCCTGGACATGAGGTTAAATATGGTACTGGCAGCATCAAATCATAGTGTACCCCTCGGTGACAGAAAGTGGTCATGTGACCGGCATGACTAAACACCAAGGCGCACGGAACATCTTGGGGAGAGGCCTACATAGACTGCTGTGTTAAGGCCTGCCTTGAATTATTGCAGGTAAATGCTGTTAACCAATGTAATTATTAGAGATTCTTTCAAGCAAAGGTGAAGTTACTTCTTGGGAAGTTGTTAAGTGTTGGTTTGGGACTATTAAGATACTTAATAGTAATTTCATATGATCGTGAAAATATGTACTTTTATAGTTATTGATCCTTTTAAAACTGTTGTAATACATCTTCCTTAGTATTCTGTTTGTTAATGCAATGAGCAGTTCAGCCTGGCCCAGAAAGAGGCAACATCTTGGGGAGAGGCCTATATAGACTTTGCTGTGTTAAGGCCTCTGGAGTCAACTGAGAAGAGCTGCAGCCTCCCAAGTACAGCCTGGAAACCTCATATGCTGTATCTGTGAGCTTACATCATATGGACCTACAATATATGTATTATCTATGTGCTTAGTATTTTTTCTGTTCTGTGCATCCTTGTGGATGCTGAAGATATCTGTACTCAGTAATATCCTGAAGATTCATTGCTATGAAGTAATAGCAACCAACCAGGAGTGAATGAGGATTTATATGAAAACCTCCATGCTTTGTTTATATAAAGAGTTTATTTTAAATGTTAAAGTGCATTGGTTGTATTGCCTCTATTATGTCTGTGCAGTTACATGTGCAGTTACAGCAGTTACATATTCTTAATAACCATAGGTGGGAGTTCTGCTGTCAAAACCGACTGAACCTGCCCACTTCTCCCTGCAGATATTAGGATCTTAGTGGGTTACACAATCACACTGTTTGGGAGCTAACCAATAAAGATGGATGAGTGAGTCAGCCTCTGGTTGATTAAGAATAGATCTTGCTGAAAGGGAGCTGCTCAGACCTCCTCTCATTCTAGGGCTGCCTTCTACTTCAAATGCTTAATTTAATTTCAAATGGTAATTTAGCTCTTCTAGGCTTGGATTAAAGTGCACTCTAGCTGAATAGCTTCAGCAGTTACAGAGGTATGTAACTGCTTGTTTTTTTGTAGGGAATTTTTTTAAAAATAATGTGAGAATTAGCTTAAAAGTTTAGATTTAGTCAGGGGTCATTTCGTAGAAAAAGAGCTAGGGGAACTCATTAGCATAACTCATTAGCATATGCCACACCCCTGACATCAGGGGCCTGGCGGTGGACCTGCAAGGCCAGCGGGAGTGCGAGGAAGCCCCGCCAAGGCCCTCCCTAGCCCCAGGCAGGCAGGGGTGGGGAGAGGCGGGGAGGAAGCAACTTACCCTCCCTCTTCTCCTGCCTCCTCCTGGCTGAATGAGGGCTGGAAGCGGGGCGGCCGGAAGCAGGGGGCAGGGCTTCGTCATGTGCCCCGCCCCCCTGCACCTCACCCGGGGGAACTGCGTTCCCCCGCGTTCCCCCCTGAAATGACCTCTGGATTTAGTTTAATATTGGACCCCTTGTTTTGTTTTGAAGCCCTAGCTGTCTGCAGTTTGTTTTGTTATTTGCTTTCCTTTTTCTGTTACAAAAACCCGCCTAAGGTTTAGCCATATCTGTGAACTCACTATCCCTAGTCTCTGGTATTACACTTTAATCTATAGGCATAGTAAAGTTTCAAAGTTATACTGGAGTTTAAGATAGCCTTGTGCCCTCAGTTTTAATCTTTGTCCTTTGTCTGACCCTCTTTTGAACCCTTCCATACTGCAGTATAATTAGCCAAGAACCTCTGAGCCTGTTTAGAATTAAAATTAGCTACATCTGAGCAGCTACAACCAAACTGAAATTAGAACTAGACCAGAAAATTGGAACAGAACTGCAATTAGACCTAAAATTAGCTACACCTGAGTGGTTTGAACAGCTGCAACACTCAGACATTACACAATGTTGGTACCTAAATGTATATTTTAACTATTTGCCCTCCTTACTATTGGAACAGAACTAAAATTAGAACTAAAATTAGCTACACCTGAGTAGTTTGAGCAGCTACAACACTGAGACTGGCTCTGCTGTTTTACCAAACCCACACTGGAACAGAAAAAGATGTGGCTCAAAACCACATTCAAATACCCCGGGCTGTACTGACTGCAGAGTCACCCCTGAATGACCATAAAATGGCCATAAATCTGTGAGATACTCTTTAATATGTGATTTTAAAAGGACATTTGAAATGCTGCTTGGGATCAATTAATTAAAATGCTTGTTGTGAGATAGAATGAGGAAGTCTGCTGCACAAGTAGCCGGCGTGTCCAAAAACCCCGTTCAGCCTCATAAGGTGGAAACACCTGGCAGAAGCAGAGTCTGATAGAAAAGGTGAAGTTGCCGGGAACAGAAAGGATTTCTGAAAGGTCAAAGATTTTTATATGCTTTAAAACTGATTGCTTTTAGTAGAGAAAGTTTGAGAGGGGTAGTTGCTTTGTATTAAAATTATGAATCCTGTGCACTCTCTTGCAAGAGTATAGAAAATAAATACTTAAGCTAAGCTTGCTTACAAAGCAGAAGTATAGCTAGATTGTTAAGACAGGGGCTTGGAAAAGCCTACTCTTCAGCTAGGGGAGGGGAAGAAAGATTTTCCAAAGGAGTGATTAACCAATTGAATGGACATAGATAGAAGCTAGGTAATGAGATTATTGTATTAAATATATAAGCTTTTATATTTTAAACTGTATAAAGCTTGAAAAAGGGGAAGCAGGCCTTTAGCCCTGACACAACAATTCTGCTGAAAGGAGAACATTTTGTGGTTTAGAAAGTCCCTGGGTCGAAAGGCCTGACTCCAGACAATCTGGAAGGCGTAGGAGGTGGGGGTTAGCTAGCTCCGGGGCGACCCAAAGTTCATCTAACGAAGAAGTGAAAGGCAATGGGCTTGCCAAGATATTAATAAAAGGTAAAGAAAGTACCTAAAATTTCTTTATCTATTTCTTTATCTTGCAAAGAAAATCAATATGCTTATCTTATAACTGACATATATATATATATTAATGCTGCTATCATGTTGGTTTTTTTACTAATCATGCAGAAAAATGGGGAACTAAACTGGGTGGATAACTCATGATGAAACTAATAACTCCCGCATATTCAAAGTTGGAACGTCTCGTTTAAGAGTCCTGCTGACTAAAGACCAAAAAGCAGACCTGATCTAAGCAACCTGCAGATAACCCCAGAAGGGCAAGAAAGACGTGGCCTTGGTGACTCCAAATTGAACTTTGTGGGGAGGAATTAAAGAATAAGGGAAAATTATGCCCTTTTTGGGAAAGTAAGGGGATTGTTTTAATAAGAAGCAGAAGTGACTAGGCGATCGGTGATTGGAAGCCTGTGACTCCTGACTCTCAGTTCTGGGAGGCGGAGAGGGTTTTTTTTATTTTCCACACCTCTCCGGGACAGGATAAATATCTGCCACATAACCCAATTCGGTGTGTGTTCTCGGTGCTATCTGGGCGAGACACACCCTGCTTGCAAGCTGCATACCAATAAAAACCTGCTTCTTTGAAGGAGACCTGTCTTGAGAAGTTATTATTGGTAAGCGCAAATTGCGTTAGCGACAAATCTATGCAGACGGCTACCATAAAACAGAGAAATCAAACAAAGTGAAAGCAACATGCAGTCTGGACACTGCCATAAAATCCAACAATCAGTCAAAATGAAAGTGGTATGCAGTGTAGAGGGGAATTTCTGTTCCAGCGTGGGTTTGGTAAAACAGTGGAGCAAATGCTTGATGCAGACTGGGCCATTATTCCTATGGGTCCCTATCCCCCCCAAAAGCATTTTTGGCTGCAGCAGAAAGGGGAGACGTGAAAGTTGCACTCCACAGTGGAAATCCTTCCATCTGCAGAAAAGCTCTTTCGGATCAAAGCCAACATATTTTATTTATTTATTTATTATTCAGTTTGTACTCTGTCCTCCTTACAAAGCAGGCTCAGGGCAGCTTGCATTCATTAAAACATATTACATAATATAGAGATAGCAGTTAAAATCCGATAAAATCAACATAAAACAATTCAATTTCAGTAATAATAGTAATGTGCTGTCGATGTTTCGCTAATTGTACAAGATGGCGTACTTTTATAAGTTTTTCAGTTTATCAATGTTTTTCACAGAGGCCGGACATCGCAACTGAGAGTTGGTGGTGATAGTGGGGGCGGCTCCTAGTTTAAAGCCTGTTGGAAGAGTTCCTTCTTGCAGGCCCTGCAGAACTGTGCAAGATCCCACAGGGCCCTGATCTCTTCCGGGAGCTCATTCCACCTGTATGGAGCCGCCACTGAAAAGGCCCTGGTGGTAGCGAGCCTGGTGTCCTTAGGACCAGGGAGGGTCAATTGACTTTGAGACCCTGACCGTAGTACTCTCTGGGTAGGATGTCTTTTGCGCTGAAACAGTTTTACATTATTAATGGGGGTAATTCAAAAATGTCAGTAAACAACACAAATGGATAAAGCAAACTTACAGATTAAGTTCTGTGAAGATTTGTTCAATTTCTTTCCGTACCTTCTCGTCATCCTCTATCCTCCTCTGAAGGAAGGTCTGCATCTCTGCTAGTGTCAGTGCTTTCTGTTTAATCTAAGCAAACAGGGAAGACACTCTTTTCAAACATGTTTACTTTGCAGGTGGTGCAGATTTATTACCTTTTTTATTTAGCATACCTACCTGTATCATACACACTTCTGAATCTTTACATTTTCATATGCTTTCAGACACTCCTCTGTATCCAATGAATCGCAAGTGGTGCAAAGCTCATGGAATGGGACTTTCCTGTCCACCCCCCCCCCACCTCTACAGAAGCTCAGTTAGTGCCTTGAAATTTTGCTTCTGGGAATCAAGAGGACCTTCATGAACAGAATGAACAGTGAGGTGGGGTCTGCAGTGGGAGAGGAGAATCGGCAAAAGTCAGGCATGTACCCTGCCAATGGAATGGCACTTGTGTCAGCAAACGTTCACAGAAAGACAAAAGTCTTTAAATAAAATGTATTTTGCATGACAACAGCTCAATCATTGTTTTGACTTCACCAGACTTTTTCTGTGTAGTGGTTCATATATCTCAGCCTGGTGGCAATAACAGTGGTGATTTGCACAGGTGAGATCCTGTGGAGGAGTTCCACAAAAGGTTTTTTTTTTTTTTGCTGATTCTCCCCTCCAGCTTCAAACCCCTGAGTCCCCATTTAAGGTATTCCTGGAAGGGCCTTCTGACTCCCAGGATCAGCATTTTGTGCTGTGGGGGTGGGGTAAGGGTCTATTCCACTGACAGAAATCCCTTCTATCACCAGTATTTTCCACAAGATCCATGCCATCTCTCCGCAATTGACTAGAAATAGTATAAAGAAAACCGAATGGGGAGGCATGGCTCCTCCCCACTAGGCCTGCTCAGTTCAAGCAGCTACCCTGAGGGAAGGAGAGCTCGACGTTACCAGATCCTGTGCATTGCAAAGCCCTTCATGAAGCAGTACATCAGAATGCACATTTCAGATATAAAAGTAAAAAAAATTAAAAGTACAGTTTACTTACCTGTTGTTCACTTTCTACTTTGGTTCGTCTAGACACACATAAACGGTCCCAGATGGTATAGTCAAGACCCTCTGGTTTGTTTCCAAATTCATCCATTTCATCAATACCTTTCATTAATTGAGTATAAGCATCCTGTAATGCTTTGACAGAACCTGGTCGATCTCCATAGGGGTTGGCAGTGTCACATACAACCTTCGTCTTCTGAGCCCTACCATGATGGATTACAGCAGACAAAAGAGGGATAAATGTTTTCTGTTGTGTTTATGTATTCAGCAGCAGAATAAGACCATGTGTCAATGGGGTCATTTTATGGTTGAATTTGGAAGAAGAGATTGGATTTATACCTTGCACTTCACTACCCGAAGGAGCCTCAGAGCAGTTTACAATCTCCTTTCCCTTCCCCTCCCCACAACAGACATCCTGGAAGGTAGGTAGGGCTGAGAGAGCTCTCTTGAGAACCGCCCTTGAAAGAACAGCTCCAAAAGAACTTATGAGTGACCCAAGGTCACACCAGCAGCTCCATGTGGAGGAGTGGGGAATCAAACCCAGTTCTCCGAGATTAGAGTCTGCACTCTTCACCACTACACCAAACTGGATCCACTACATCAAACTTACTTCAAAGGTTTCGGTTTTTTTTTTAGTATTATCAATTACTTTTCCATCCTCTTAATTTTGCCCTTTGAAATTCTGTGCACTGACAAGTCCATATGCCTCTCCATGAGGAAATGGGATATTAATATAAGCCTTTAAGTTGTGGCAAAAGGAAGGCTGAATGCACAAGATAAGTAGGAGGTGAAAAGGACATCCTTGATATCCTAGTCCCAGGCCAAGTGCAAGGCTTAAAGTACCATTTTAAGAAGAATTACACTCTTCTAAACCAATTGACTGTTAAACCACATGCATTTCACACAGTGATTGGGGCAATACAATCTAATCCCCCCTTAAGCACACATCATGCTTTAACTCAGAAGCTACACAAATTCCTATACCAGGCTCCATGCAAACTCAACAGCTGATAAGCCTATAAGGAATTAAAGTCAACATGTGATTTCTGTCTTACCAGTGCAGATACACATGAAGCTGGCTAATACTGAATCAGACTCTTGGTCCAGCAAAGTTAGTATTATCTACTCAGTTTGGTAATGGCTCTTCAGGGTCTTAGGCAGAGGTCTTTCACATTACCTACTACTTGGTCCTTTTAACTGGAGATGTCAGGGATTGAATCTGAGACCTTCTGCATGCCAAGCAGATGCTCTACCACTGAGCCACAGCCCCTGCCTAAAGCAACACTTCATGACTATCACTACAACCAATATGCAATAAGCATCTTCAGTAATGATTCTAGGATTATGATGTCCTACTTGCTGGTTTTGAAAGCAGGTAAGTTACAATAGGGCAGATCCTATCCTTATCCTAAGGAGGGATGGGCACAAACCTAAAAAATCTGGTTTGGTTCAGGGTAGCCCCTGAACAGAACCCTTAACTGAACTAAGCCAAAAGGCTCCAAACCAAACTGGCAAGTTTGGTTCCCCCTCTCTCCTGGCTGCAGTGAGCTGTGGCCAGGAGAAAGGGGGGGGGGGGTTCCCAGGAAGGGCTAAATGGCTGGCAGCCATTTAACCCATTCATTTTGTTCCCCCCACTTCAAAGTGGGTGGGGGGACCTAAACTGATGGTTTAATGGCTTGCAGCCATTTAAACATAACAGCTGGAAGACACCCTGCTGTTAGGTTTAAATGGTTTAAATGCCTTTTAGGTTTAAATGGCTGGGGAAACGAAACTTAACAGTGAAATGACTCGCAGCCATTTCAGCCTAACAGCCATTTCTCCCCACTGCTCAGCTGTTAGGTTTAAACAGCCTGAACAGCCAAACCAAACTGGGCAAAAGTCCGGTAAATGTTCTGGGAAGGTGCCTTCCCCAAACATTGGTTTGGGGCTCCAAACCAGCCCAAATTCATGCTGAATTTTGGCTCGTGAGCCAGTTCTTGCCCATCCCTAACCCTAAGGTTCCACTGAGCAAAGTTTGAGGTCTTCCACCAGGTTAAGTTGGATGAAGGCTGGATTCATACCAATGTTCTTAATAAGACTGTGTGGACTGTATTTTTTCCTACAGTGGAAAAAAAATCAAAGACTTTTTGGATGTGGTTGGGTTCAAAGAAAAATCTTACCTAGGCCGACGTTTGTAAAGTTTGAATAGCTGATCAATGTGATGAGCTGGAACATCAGAAAATTCCTTTCTAAAACCACGTTCCATGAGCTAACAGCAAGGAGGAAAGCACAGCTTTATGAGAGCTAGGACTGAGTGTTAGTATGTATCTGCCTCAATTCTGAAAGGCATGAGGAGAATAACATTGAAGTAGCTTTAGATCAAGGAGTACAGTCCACATAGGCAATCACAGTACACAGAATGGGGCTGACAGTTGATTAAAATATATGACAGTATTTACAGAACTCGGAATCCTAGGTAATCTTTTAAGACCGGGCATTGAGAGCTGTGACTGGGTGGTTGCAGCAGAGTCGGCTGAAGTTGAATCCATCGAAGACGGAGGTTCTGTACCTAACCATGGGGGTTTAGATATGGAAATCTGGATACTGGCCCTGGGTGGGTTATCACTGATGCTGGCGCCCAGGGTTCAGAGCCTTGGAGTGATACTGGATGCCTCCCTGTTGATGGAGGCCCAGGTCACAGCATTTGCCAAATCAGTCTTTTTTCATCTTCGGTGGGCTCGGTAACTAGTCCCTTGCCTTTCCACTCACAACTTGGCTACAGTGATCCACACAATGGTCACTCCCAGACTGGTCTATTGTAATATGCTCTATGTGGGTCTATCCTTGTACCTAACCCAGAAGTTGCAGCTAATGCAAATGCGACAGTGCACCTGCTGTCTGTGACGTCTCTGCAGGCGCGCATTCAGCCGGTGCTGTGCAGATTGCACTGGCTGTCGATAGAGTTCTGGATCTGTTTCAAGGTGTTGGTTTTAACCTTTAAGGCCCTGAGCGGTCAGGGACCAAAATACCTGCAGGACTGCCTCTCCCATTATGTCCCCTGAAGGGCCTTACATTTGGCTGACCAACATTTCCTGGTAATCCCTGTCCCAAACGACGTTCATCTACCTTCAACTAGGGACAGGGCTTTTTCGACTCTGGCCCCAACCTGGTGGAATGAGCTCCCCACAGAGATCAGGGCCCTTTGGGATCTTTTACAATTCCACGGGGCTGGCGCGTTGCCGAGCACCGGGTGAAGCCCACCGGAAGGAGCCGCGGTTTAAGACCTGCTCTGGGCGGCAGGAAGTGAAGCGCCGAAGAGCTGCCAGGGATTGAACAACGAGCCAAGCCAGGAACTAAATAATAACTGAGCCCACGTTCGGGGTGCTGGTAGGTTATCACCCCCCATACAAATAATGTGGCCCTAGTTAGGGATAAACAGCTGTGTAAACCGCCCAGAGACCCTCCGGGGTCAGGGCAGTATATAAGTCAAAAATTAAATTAAAACATTAAAATAATAATGTATTTTTAAAAAACTATCTATGTCCTGTAAGTAGAAAGCTGGGATAGTAGTATAATATAATACCTTAAATAAAACAATCCAAAGATCACATTATCATTGGGGGGGAAGTTAATTAAATCTCAGCTCTTCCATTTATTCACCTATAGTCAAAATTTTACATGGGCCATTTAATACTATCATTGCTGTTAAAATAAACACTGTTTTCAACATCTGGATAGAATAGAGAAGTAAACCAAAACCTAGTTAAATTGATAAATGAATATTTGAATACAAATCAAATTAGTTGCATGGAACAAAAAAAATTACTAAAAAGCTTAAATTCTACCACTTCAGCCAGGTTGCTCTGTAGATCTAGCTTTAAAGTTTTTACTTACTTTGTCTTCAGCAACTAAGATGTCATAGGCCTCTCTGTAGGTATCCACTTGTGCTCTGGCTGCCTTGACTGCATCACTAGTTAACATCTGTAAAGAATAGAATACAGAGGAGGTGCTTTGGGGATATAATGGACCAAACAAAATACATGCCCTGACCTTTCATTAAGATTGCAATCCTAAAGTCACTTTCCTGGGAGTAAGCCCCATTAAATAACATGGGATTTACATCCAAATAGACTTGTTTAGGATTGCTCCCTTAGATTGCTAGGAACTGAGATCAATTTATATGTAGCAGACACTATTTTCCACACAGTTTATTTATGATTATTCATTTCTTAAGGTATGAGTCTTGCAACTCAAATATCAAAAATGGATTTTCCTTATTTTTAAAAAACTTATGATGAATAATAATAATTATCATATGGCATTGTGTGTAGAATAGCCAGGAGAGCCTCGGATTGTCTCACAGCCAGAAGTTCTAGTTCTTTAGCATTATGCATCACTAGGTGGCGAGCTAGACTTGTTTTTAAGGCAAGAGACATTTCAGAGATGGTTTGCCATGCCTACCTCTGTGTCATGACCCTGGTATTCCTTGAAGGCTGCCCTTCCAAATACTATCCAAGGTTGCCCCTGCTTAGCTTCCAAAATCTGACAGGATTGGGCTAGCCTGGGCTATCCAAGTCAGGGCAAAAAACTTATGGTGATCCAGGTTATAGGTGGCTGTGTACAAACAGCAACAGGGCCCAAAGTGCACTTCCAAGGATATCTCTGCTGAGCCCCACTAGCAGTATATTAAATAATGGCCAAAACAGACCTGACACTGGAGAGATCCATGATCAGATCTCCTGAAGCCTTCTTCTTTACTTCAAGAAGCTATGCTGGGCTGCTAATTTGATTGAAGAAGTGGTACTGGGAGAAACCTTTCTCCTTGTGCTCCACTTCTCTGAAGCTACTAATAGCCCAGTGAATGAAAATGCAGGCATTACACAATTATGTGTAGTTTTCTACAACAGGGCTAATATCCTCAAGGAAGTAATTTACATTGGGGAAATTACCCAAAGGGAAAACAGGGTTGCACTTACCTGTAACTGCTGTTCATCGAGTGGTCTTCTGTGCAGGCACACATGGGATCTGCGCAGGCGCAAGCCAGCCAACGGAGAGGAACTAGCAAGCTTCTTATAGGAACTTTTTAGACTCCCAAGAGTGCAGGCCCCCCCTCCCACTCACTGTGACTTCGTGCCAAATCACGTGATGTGGGAGGAGCCAGCACTCGTCCCTCAGTTCTCCTAGGCCGCCGGGTAAGAAAAACACAGGCAACTGAATGAGACTACAGCGGGGAAGGAGGGAGGGATGTGTGCCTGCACAGAAGACCACTCGATGAACAGCAGTTACAGGTAAGTGCAACCCTGTTTTCATCATCGTGGCTTCTGTGCAGTCCCACATGGGAGAATAGCAAGAAGTATACCAACCGGAGGAGGGTGTGGGCTGATTCAGCGAAAAATTGATTGAAGTACTGCTCTCCCCACAGATGCCTCACTCCTCAAGTGGACGTCCATAGCGTAGTGCTTCATGAAGGTCGATGGCATTGACCATGTTGCTGCTTTACAAACATCTTCCAGAGGCAGTGGCGCCATGAAGGCTGCAGAGGAGGCTTGAGCTCGAGTGGAATGAGCTGAGATGTTCAAGGGACAGGCAACCCCTGACTCCCTATAGGCAGTTTTCATTGTGGAGACAATCCACCTAGAGATGGATTGTGCTGAGGCTTTTTTACCCTTATTGGGACCTCGGTAACAAACAAATAAATTTCTGTCGGTGCGAAACGGTTGTGTCCTTTGTAGGTAAAACAGTAAGACCCGTCTCACATCTAACGTTTGTAAACGTTGATCTGCTGCCGACTGCGGCTGCGGAAAAAAAATGGGTAGGACAATATCCTGGCCCATGTGAAACCTAGAGACAAACTTTGGTAGGAACCCAATGTGTGTTCTAAGAACTACCTTATCGTTATGAAACTTTAGATAAGGAGGGTCACATGACAACGCCCCAATTTCACTCACCCTCCGGGCAGAAGTGATCGCCACTAAGAACGCCGTTTTAAAGGAAACCCAGGACACGTCTGTAGTAGCCAAGGGCTCAAATGGTTTATGGGTGAGTGCAGTAAGAACCAATGACAAACACCACTGGGGGGTTGGATGTACAGCAGGAGGGTAAAGATTACACAAACCTTTTAAGAAACGTTTTGAGTCACGTGCAGAGAAAACTGTGGAACCCTCTACCTCATCATGATAAGATGAAATGGCTGCCAAATACACCTTAATGGACGAAGGTGCCAAACCTTCGTCCTTTAACTTCAAAAGAAACTCAAATATCTTGGCCAGTGGACAAGATCTAGGCTCAAAACCTTGAGAACCAATCCAATTAGAGAATTTTGACCACTTCAAAGCGTAAGATCTTTGTGTAGACTGTTTTAGGGCCGATTGCATTACGAGAGACACTCTAGGGTCCATATGTGTCATGGGAGTATCAGCCAAGCTGTAAGCTGAAGGTGGTTCAGTTCTTGGTTAAATCCCGCAGCGTGCAGCGACACAGCCGGAACGTCTG